TACGCACACCATATGCTTGGCTGGGTTACTATCGCAATAAAGAGGTTACTGAGAAGAGTTTGTCCAATGGTTGGTTGATAACTAGCGACATTGGCTATTTTGACGAAGATGGGTTTTTACATGTCTGTTCTCGTGATAATGACGTTTTTAAATCACGGAATTTTCAAATCTATCCACAACAAATTGAAGAAGTGATCATGCAAGTGCCTGGGGTACTGGAAGTTTGTGTTTTCGGCAAACCAGATCTTGTGACTACCAATTTTATTGCTTGTGCAGTTGTACGTACTAATAATATAGAAGGAGAGCGCCTTACTGTAGCTAAGGTGGAGGAATATGTTGCAGAAAACATGGCTGCAATTTACCAAATAAAGGGTGGTGTGTTCTTTTTAAATGAATTGCCCAAAACTGGATCTGGCAAGGTTCTCAGAAGAAAAGTTTATGATTTAGTTAAATCTTAATAAATAAAATAAGGAAATGAAATAATTACCGATCAGAAGATTTAGTTTTCAATATTTTAGGGAAGTTAAAAATTATTTATCATTTAAAGTATTAAATGTCTACAATTTAGGTTCGTAAGTATTAACTAAATAGTATAACTCATATAACACACACACACTGTGAGAATTACATGAAACAAGATCGCATTAATTATTTTCTACATATATATAGATATATAAAAACATTTAATCATCTAAAACTTAATCTCTCGTCTATCTTAACTACGTTTATTGGTTCATAGAAGTCTTGTTTCTGTTTTTATAGCATTCAAATTAATATGAAAGATATAGATAGGTAAGTGCAGTTAAAAGGAGTATCGAATTCTAATCATATACTTAAGCAACCCTCATTTACATAGCGCACGTCTAGCCTAGCTTGATATCGTTTTATAAGTCAATATCCTGTAAGAATCATTATTCTCGTAGGTGTTGTTAAGTTGTTTATTGTCGCTAAGTTAGTGTCGCTATGTTAACCTGTTTCAAACAGTGATCATCTGTCAATATCCGAGTGTAACTTAGAGGATTTGGGGTTGGTACTAGAACTACTAACTTCTTTTATTGAGTATCTATTTATTTATGTTTTCACTACTTATATTTATTCATCAATCAAGTGCTAACTCTCACTTTTTCTATATCGCCTTGTATGCCTTTAAAATACAATAATTTTGGAATCAGCTATATTTATCAATATAACATATATATAATATATATAAATAATTATATAATGCAGTATTCTTTTAAGTTATTGACTATTATCTGCGTTATGGTGACCTTGTTATATGTACAATATCGTCTATATATTAACACTTGGAGATCAATATCCTCAATTATTCCTTCTGGAAGGAATCTGACAATCTGCAGCATGATTTACACTTTGTCATCTCGCTGGAAGTTATTTGGTTTCAATTTGTTTTTATTTGTAACGAAGAAGTCATATACATTTTTAATAGTATTCCTCATTTACTTACATATTTTTATATACAGTATAATGACTAGTTAGCAGATACTATGAGTAAAGCTCATAGAACAACCCAAGCCCAGATCTTGTAATATGACATATAATATTTGAAATTTATACTTGATATGTATCAGATAATTGACGATATACTCAGATAAATCTGAAATACCTCAGATAAAAGGGGTATTTCAGTAAACGAAGTGCTTTCCCATAGTACTTCAAGCAATAACAAGAAGAGATGAAATGGATTTATGAAAGAACTTTAAACAAATTAACAATATTTATTGATTATAAAGAAAGAAAAAAATTCATAATCATATTTGTATAAAAAATACTTGTATCTGTAGAAAGTTATTTTTTTAGTTTATAATTTTTATTTTATTTTAAGTTTATTTGTAAAAAATTTTATTTTGTTGAGAGTGGCAACCATCGTTGATTACTATGGCTTGCTCGATACCTTGGTTACTTGTTAATTTCTTTAAGGAAAACTCCAGTTTCGCTTCATATAAATAAAATGTGGTTGGTAAAATAAGTTAGTGAACGTAATGGAGATTATAGAATTTTTAGGCCGCACAGACCAAAGGAATTTAAAACTAAAAATTCAATCAATGGCAAGCATTTTTGATTCGTTGATGAGATATTCAAAATAATTTAATCCAAAATTATTGTTAGGTCGATAAACGTTTAAAAGAATTGGAACACAATTTGGAAAAACGAAAGGAAAAGTCAGTATTGATTTTAATTAATATCCAGAAAATAGATCTATTACGTAGTCTATTCCAGACTACGTTTTATACTACAATGTGAAAATCTGCAATATAATGAAGAGTTAGCATTCTATCTACAGGAACGTATTAGGGAAAACTCAGAGAAGCGTCTAGAGTGGATTGGTATAAAGAAAATTGAACGAGAATTAGCTGAAGAGGAATTCAAAAAGTCGAAGGAGAGACAGAGAGCAATGTAAGTTAAAAGGTAATTTATTAAAATTAATTTTACATTTTTTAAATTTTTTAACAGCGAAAATTGTGAGGAAATGAGACATTGGCAAAGTAAACAAAATATATTGGAAGTGAAAAGGGCACAACTTTATCAAATTGAAGAGAAGAAACTGTTGAGACAAAGACAAAAACAAATTGATGAATTGTGGCAAAAGGCTATTGATAAACTAGAAAATGAGAAGGTAAGTGTGTGCGTTATTGTTACTGTGACCGGACACTGCACCATCGAGTGGGATGGGGCCAGTAAAGGAGGCTAAGAAAGGTATAAAAAAAGGTATAGGAAGGGATGTTTAATCGAACACAGGTCAAGATGAAAGTATTCCAGCACATCTATGGGACGGAACCATAAAACAATAGGGCTTGAAATTGTGTGTATACCTGAGCAAGAAAACAGGTCATACTCGTATTTTATCTAATAAATTCAGTAAGAATTCCTTACCTTTAGTCGGTCTCACTGTTGTTATCTCCGTTACGGTAGGAGTCCATGTATTTATGATATGAAGACGGAAGGCTATATTCATTGTGGAGGCATTGACATGTCTAGGAGAGATTTTTCTTTATTGGAAACTGAGTATAGTATGCTAGTTGAAATTCAGAAGTTATAAAGATAAAACGCTGTGAATGGTTTGGGATCACTAATTAAACAATAACCAAAGTCTTGACTTATAGTAAATGTATTGAGTCAAATACGGGTATAATTTGTATAGAATAAAATCATGATACGTTGTAAATAAATATTTATAAAAAAAAATTATGACTTATAAACATTGCTGTAGTATTTACTGATTTATTTGTAGTCATTAATAAGATATGATGATTGTTTGTACCGTATTTAACAATAAGCAAACCTTCTGAAAAGCTCATAATATGAATAATCTTATTTTTACTTTTTTATGAAAAAAGGAACTACAGCGTATACACCAGAAGAAATTACTTAAAATAATTGAAAATACCAATCAGGGAATAAATTTAAATTCTGTTGAAGAAACAAAACATAGATATAAAACAGAAAAGGAGTCACTGCAATATGAACTCGAAGAAGAGTAAGTATATCTGAAATTTTTGACCGATACTTACTAGCATAATATGTGTATATAAATTAAATATTTACTAGCTTCCATATTATTATTTGAATAGTAAGAGAATATTTAAAACTTCAAAAAACCACCTACGATAGTTTAAAAGTCTACGGTTTTAAGTGATTAATATTATAGAACTTAAGTAGGACTTTAATAGGTAAATGTTACATATGAAATTTTTTTCTTTGGGGTTTAACTTTAACTAATTTGCATTAAATAATCTAATGCTGGTGACATGTTTTGTCTGTATACACTAGGGTAGCCCTTTTTTTGTGTACGAAACATATTTTTTGCTGACTAGATTAGATATTTCATTTTTTAGTACCAAAGTGGAAAGAAAATTCATTTTAAGCGTGCCGCAACACCCTTGAAAGTGGGGTTTTATAGTTTCCACTTTACCACAGCAAACACCGCTTTTTTTTAAATAATTTCTTAATATTAAAAAATATATCAATTATATTGTGAATTATATCAATTATATTGAGCCCTCTTCTAAGGTTTCAGAGATATAGACAATTAAAAGTGACCATTTTTTATAGATTTTGGATGTTTATTTAAAAATTTTACAAAACTAAATTTTTTTGTTATTATTTCATATAATTAAAAATTTACACGAAAATAGTTTCAAATTAAATTTAAAAATGGCAACATGTTAATTTAATATGAAAAAGGCGTGGCGCAGGTGTCTGAAAGTAAGTCTAATAGTTCTTGCCCTATGTGTAGATTATCAATAAAAAAAGTTAGCTTTGTTTTTTGACGAGGTAGTCTTCAATTTTAAATCACAAAATCAGTTCAATATTAAGTATTTTAGTATAGATTTAGTATAGATTTAGTATATATATATACATATATGTATTGAGCAATATTTTATTTTCTTTTCTATAAACATAAAGTTCTTTCATAAAATTTTTAACAGTAATTTATAATATTATTATGAAATATTATTTATTCTCTGTGACTATGCACTTTTTTGAAAAAAAATATTTATAGTAATACAATTTAATAAAATATTTATATTTAGTAATTTACGTGCCCTTTGTTTCGATAAAGCGTATAAGGAGCGGGCCAAAATTCTTACTGAAGAAAAGAAATTGCATCAAAAACGTTTATTAGAGGTAAAAATATAAATCCAATAGGATAAATATATATATATATATATTTTTGAAATAACTAGACTTTCGCTTCAGCAACAAATATTGGCAAATCAAGAAAACTTAGAGCTTGAAAGAACCGACAAAAAATCTGAAGAAATTTGTAATATGGATAGACTGCGAAATGAGTTACGAAAAGATTTAGAGCAGACAGGCATCGAAAAGGTCTATTTTATAAGATATTTTTAGAAAAGCAGTGTTATTTATATATAAATGTTTTATTTTTCTAGATAAGAAATCGTGAATGGCATAAAAAATATTTGGCTTATACTTTGAAGCAGAAGGAAGATAAAAAACAGAAAGAAGAAGATTTTGAAAGGAAGCTTTTTGGAACTGGTTGTGTATTACAACAGAGATTAAAAACTCCATACAACAGAAATGTACGTTAATCGAAAATTAAATAATGATTGTCAAGATGTTTAAAATAATGGAGCCAATAATTTTTTAAAACGATGTTTTGATGGGAGAAAATATACTATATAACTAGAAATTTCGTAATGAGGATTTTTTCTGAGCTAACCTTCATGCTTCTGATATACACGTGTGCTTGAGTATATAATTTATACTTATACTTAACAGTTAAGAATTGTTTGTGTAATTGAATACACTATTTTGTTACTTTTGAAAGACTTAAGAAGGGGTCTCCAAAAACTGAGTTAACTAAGTTACTTACTTGTTTGATTTGCTGCTAGTTTTTTAACTTGAAATTTTTTTTGACTTTAATAAGATCAATATAAATAAAAGATTTAGAGCTAATAAAAACTTTATATATTAAATAATATATTAACTTTTATATGAAATAACATTATATCAAATTAATTGAAAGAATTTTAAAACAACGTCAGCCCCAGAAACCTTTTACTTTTATTTTTATTCTAAGTTCTTTGGAGTTATGAAGTAATTTTAAAATATTCATAATTTTGTATTAAAAGTGACAAGACATGTGCAATACAACAAAATAGAGCCTCAGGCTAAAAATCGTAAGTGCCTCCATTTATCGAGAAACACGATGAACCATGTTTATGCAAATTATTGGCTCCTTAAAGTCAGAAAGTGAATACATATAAATTAATATACATACTCGTACGAGTACATGTAACATGGTATATATATATATAAAAAGCTTTATAACCGCAATATATACTCTTCTTAATATAATGGCATTAAATTATTTTAATAGAATGTTCAAATTTAGTACATTTATTTATTTATATTGAAAAAATTGCAATTTGTGTTTTATTGTATTTGTTTTAAGAAAGAACATTAAAATATTAATTTGAATAAAATTGAAGTAGTAATTGAAATTTTAACAATAAGTCTCCGTTGTGTCTTCGTGATAGTCCAAAATTAAATAAAACTGCATTAAAACTGTTATGTAAAATAGTATCGCTGAGATTGTATTGAAGAAGGCTTCCTTATTAAGCTTGTAGAATCCACATAAACCTATTTTTAAAGGAAAACAATTAATTTGAAGTACAAATTCTTCACACTAGAAAAACAATCACAAATGAATATAATTAATCGACTATAAATATCTTATGTGTTTACCGTTCTATATAAATTCGAATCTGTCTCAGTAATTACATTGAAATCATGTAAAATATTTGCCAGTTGCATACTAGACTCAGAAGTTAATTCACTTATCCAATCGATAAAGTACAGCTTAGCAACTGTGCTTAGGAAAAAAAAGATAAAAAGTAGACTCTCGCCATTGATACAAACTTTCACGACGATGTAGAAAATTGAGATGAAAAGCACAATAACAGTCCAAAATAAGCAACTCAAACGTATGACGATTATATTAAATTCATAAACTGCATTAAATTCTTTAGCTAAGCAAAGAAGTTCCCAATGTAAGTGCATGAGGCGTCTAATCTCAAAACTAAAGCAATTCTTCAAGTTGGGTAGTTGTGACGTCGTTCGGTGACGCGGATGTTGCGTATCAATTTCAATCATTTTTTCCTTTAATTCAATCAATTGTTGAAATCGTTCTTTTATACGACAGAAACCAATGTGAATGTTCATCAGTTTCAGAAAATATATAAATAATGTAAAGTATAAAACATTATCGCAGTTACAAAACATAAATACCAATAATGGTAGATACCAAGTTTTAAGTTTGATACTAATGTAAGTACATATAACGGAGCTGATATAAGTAAAGACCATCAAGAAATATGCCATATAGAACATCGCATCTAAATGCCGTTTATATTCTTTGTCAATTGGGAGATATCGCAAGTGTTTCAGATACAAACGTCGCATTCGCTTGTGTAGTCTCTGTTCGATTGGTTCCCTCTTGCATCTCCATAGAACGCCGAGTAGCACTGCATTACAGTATGTAGTCAAGCTAGCAGCATATGTTCCTTTTATAAGTAGAGTCCAGTAGTTTCCATCAATTTGTATGATTTGTTGCCAAACACAAATTGGTAAAGCAGCTATTGCTGTGATATTGCATATCACACTAAAATACCGAGTAAATGTATTTCGTTTATATTTAAGCGTTTTGCTATCAAAATAGTAAGAATTTAAACCAGCCAGTATCGACCAATAAGAAAATGTTAACTGCAGGAAATTCTTGAGAGTATTACCTTTTTCGTATAACATTTTTAATCAACTGAAAAAATTGTTAATTAAAAGTACTTCTGTAATAGCCAATGTAAAAATTAATTAGGTTTAGAATGTCCATTAAATACAAATAAATTGTTAATATTCACTTAACTTTCTTGCGTGTTTGCAGTACATATTATTTTAAATACTCATGCGTTATAAACAAAAGTGAATCAACTGATTTTGAAGGAACTGTGAATAAGGTATCAATTTCTATACATTACATATATAACTATATTATGTTAACTGATAAGAGCAATTGAAGTATATATAATTAAACGCCATTGTCGCTTACCGTACCATAAGGGAATTTATAACATTGCATATAAATGGATTTGTTTACTAATAATAATTCAATTTAGTTATTTATATTATTAATTCAATATATATTTTCTATGTTAATGCTTCCTTCAGTCCATATGCTATATTCAACATTTAAATATTAGCCTTGACATTGCTGTAGCTCTAAAATCTTTTACTTACAGTACAATATAAAATTTTATTAATCAAAATTTCAATTTACATCATCTTATGTTGAGGTTTTTCCGAGTTAGTGCAATTGGATACTTTTACTCTTTCTTAGCCGGGGAGTTTCTACAGAGTCCCACGCTTCTCTTTGACTTATTTATGTATTCCTCACAAGCTTCGCTGATTATTCGATGACTAATCTAAGATCTGCATATCGCTCCGTTCAGCTAGTGACTGCTCTCAGATTAGATAGTGCTCAAAAGAATCTCACCTCATTCATTTATCTTTAATCTGCCTACACCATGTTCATCGCTTAGCTAAACCTAGTCCTCTAGGTACTAAACCTCTTGCTCCATAACTTTCTTCCCTGATTACTGGTGAAGTCCCCACATTGCCGTTGAAATCTTTTCCATTCATTCCTAAGAACTGGTAAGGCGAGTCATCGAACCTCTTGACTATATTATTACATGGACACAGGATCAATTTCGTGTGAGAAATTGTATATTTAATGGTGCTTATTTGTCCAGTTAAGTACAAAAGTCCAAATATAGCATAGCAAACGACGTATAATATTCTCATTTTTGGAAAAAACATTTAAGAACAAATTCCATTTAATTGATTGATGCACAAGTCAAATACAAAAGTTTTATGCTTTACGAAATATCATAAATAAAGATGTATCTCAGATTTACGAATCTGTTTATACGAGATACATGAAGACATGAAAATTGTGATTTTGTAAGACTATTTAATAAAGAAAATCGATCAAATCGATGTGTGTTCATCAAGATTTCTCACGAAACTAAAGAGAACTGTATTTAGATATGCTATTTATATACTTCAATACTTATGAAACTATGTAAGCAATTTTATATAAATAGACTTTTTATTAGTCTTTCAAAGTCATACATTTTAAAGATAATACATGTTTTTATTTTTGCGGCACAAAAATCACTAAAAAACTTATAAGCTATATAAATTTGAAATCGATTCCGCAATCATGCAGTTCAGTTTATTTTAATCATCAACAGATCAAGTTGATTTCAGCCTTTCAATCCACATTACCGATTTAAGCATTTGGGTCATTTATTTATGTTAATGAATTCAAATATTTCTAAATGCTTTTGCATACGAGTATTATGGATAGTTAAGCTATATGATACGTTTATGTATATTAGTACTTCTAAATACAATTTATAGTTGAATTTTTTCGAATCATATTTATTACTTCTAATTTTTTTTATTTATAAAAGCAAATGGACTTGCAATAGCATTGACATCTTGTGCAAACAATCTACATCAAAGCATATATGGAGTAACGGATGGAAGCGAATACCGAAGCACTTCTTTAACCATTGATTTGTTACCGTTTTGAGTGGTTCACTCCCGTTTGGTTGGTTGGTTGGTTGGTTGGCATTTACTTACGTAAATCGCGGCCGTTATAACAATTAAGTCACTTTAAATTATGAATGACAGCTGTGATAAGTCGTGATTCATGATCAACTCTGATATTGGCATGCCGATTCTTCACCATTTAACCAAGTTCTGCTCCTATATTTTGTATTGCAAGTTTGTAAGAGCAAACAATGCCTGCTTTCATATTAAACATTTTATCCGCCTCTTTAGCTGCTACATGCTAAATTGTATTTGCTGATAAATAATGAATTATCTTAACTTTCTATAGACATTGATTTTGACAATTATTTTTGTTATTTGTCAGCTCAAGTCAACATGCGTTACTTCTCCATTAAGTAAAACGAAACTTATCTCAAAAAAACAAACTCTAATTGATTTTTGATTTAACACCGCATTAACATCGTATTTTCTAACCTGTGTACATCCTACTCCATTATTCAGATCTGCCAATGCAACGCTTCTGTGATATTCACAGCTTAGATGTCTGTTGTAACTGTTGATTACTATTTGTGGTGTAAACTTAATAAATGGCTAATTGGTTTCCAAGCCTACTTCACTTGTTAGCAATTTTATTTTTTCCATGTTAATGTATAATCACAAATTGCTTGTTTTAAGTAATGCGACTTCAGTATAACCGGATAATTTTTACCAGTAATTTATTCTGTAATATACTTCGGTATGTTAAAATAACTTCTATATTTTTCAAAGCATTTTATAAACTCTAAAGATACGAAAATATTTGATATACGAATATGCACACTAGCAAATTCGTTTAAGTGTTCTCTTACTCAATCGACTAACTCGAAAACACTCTTAAAATTTAGTGCTGAAATGTCATTGCTTGTTAAGTTTGAACTGTATGATAGAAGAAGGATACTAAATGGTAAAAAAACATCATAACTGATGCTGTAAGCCCCATCAATTTGAC